CCATGGACATGACGGCTGCGGTGCGGCTGTACGCGAGGCGGGCAGCATACCACCGCGCAGGCTCGGGGAAGTTGGTGTAGAACCACTCGCTGAACACGGGCGGGAACCGCGGCAGCACGTGGTTCACAAACACTTGCATCTGAGGCACACAACGGTGAACACACGGTGAACCCGATGTGCCGAGTAAGAACAGCAGCACGATACCATGGTTCTGTGATAACCCCCAAACAAACACACACACACAGCCACCCACAACCACACAACCACACACACACACACACAACCACACACGTACACACAACCACACACACACACATGCGCATGCACTCCGCCATGATTCAAGCTCACCTGTGATGGAACACGGCCATCCTTGGCGTGTGTGCGTGGATTGCACAGCGCTTTGATCTCAGATGTCCGCGCGTGCAGGCCACGCGATTTGTAAATGTCGATGAGAATCGGGCGGAACCCTTTCGTGTGTTGTACCTGAACATTGGCAGGTGTTTGAACATGTAAACGCAGCAAGCAAAGCAGCGTCGTGAGTTGTCAGAAACACAGTTGTCGCACAGTACGTCCTCTGTCGTGGTGCGAGCGACTCACCCATTCGATGATACCGCAGGCCTCGTTGAGCGGGATGACGCCGTACGTGCGAATGTGCATCTGCCGCTCGCGCGCCGCCGGGTCGCCCTTGAGCAGCTTGTTGATGACGCTGTTGAAGTCCATAATGCGGTTGTCCTTGCGTAGGTCATCGTCGGGCTTGCACAGAAACGGGTACGACTTGCCGTCGTTGCCGCGAATGCTGATCTTGCGCGGCCGCTGCAGACTCACCAGCACGCTCACCTTGTCCTCAAACCGCTGAATGGTGGGCGGGCTCGGGGTGAACGGGTCGTAGGTGCGCAGCGAGCCGCGGGATGTTGGCAGCGTCACCACCATCGCCTCTGACGTGGGAATGATGATGGGGCCGTGTAGACGGAAGTCACTGCGAATATGTATGTGTATGTGTGTGCGTTTGTGTGCGTGCGTGCGTGTGTACGTGTGTGTGCGTGTGTACGTGTGTGTGTGTGTACGTGTGTGTGTGTGTGCGTGCGTGCGTGCGTTTGTGTGCGTGTGTGTACGCGCGCGTGTGTGTATGTGTGTGTGTATGTGTGTGTGCGTGTGTGTGGTTAACGTGAGCTATCAGTCGAGGTTTCTGCATCAAGCGAGATGCGCAATTCCATCGTCCCAACAACTCATGTTCACGCTCAAACACAACACATGGAAAAGCTCGAGCCAACGTCTACACGTACCCAAAGTAAGAGCGAAGGCTGACTGAGGACACATCCTGCGCAACGGGCTTCTGGCACACGTTGAGCAAGTACTTGATCAGCTTCTGGAAGAGCTCAGAGATGGAGCGTGCCTCCTGTTCAAGGCACAAGCACAGCGGTGAGTGCAGACGCCATGGGCTAATAACAACAAAGCTACCCCTTTGCCGAACACAAACCGGCCAGCCCTCTATCGCACACAGCACACACACGCACACGCACGCACACACGCACACACACACAGCATACATCGAAGCGACACTGCACGAAACCCGCACCAACACGCACAACGCAACACACACACACACACACACACAGCGCACCGCCTTGGTTGCCCGCTTGATGAGCTCCATGTAACGTTTTGTGCGGAACTTGAAGGTGGACTGGGAAAGTGCCGTGATCATCCACAGCGTCTGCTGCGGGTGGTTCTCAATCAGCTTGGCAAAGATCTTCACCAGCCGATCAAAGACGTGGCTGTTTGGGTGACAAATGTGCGAGGAGAGGTGGGGCAGCGCAGTGAGGAACTGGAACGAGTAGATGCTGTCCACCAGCAAGTCAATCTCCTTGTGGATGGACTTGAGCACGGCGTCGGAGGCCGGCGGCAGATCTTTGGGCTTCTGCAGCGTCTTCTCGGATACAGTGGCAAGCCGCGAGCCATACTCCAGCCACAGCGTGAGCAGGCGTGGCAGCGCCTGGAAGGTGTGCATGCACCCATGCCGCAGCGACAGCCCGTAGTGGCGGATGATGTGGGGCAGGTCCAGCTCCTTCACCTCGCCAACCTGCAGCAGGCCGTCGTGATACTTGGCCAGGGCGTAGTGCGCCTCGTCCCATGCCTCGTCCTCCTTGGCCAGCTGCTTGTAGTGGGCCAGCACCTCAACCGCCGTGAACCGCGACGTCGCCGCCATCCACTTGCCAACCAGCAGCCGCGCGTCGTTGTACTTTTGCTTGCCCATGCTCTCCGAGTTGGCGGCGAGGTGCTTCTGCAGGCTCACCAGCGCCTCGTGCTGCTCGCCGCGCTCCCACCGCAGCTTGGCCTGCTCCAGCGCGACCTCGGCCAACAGGCCCGGGGAGGGCTCCGTCCCCTGCACACGAAGCAGCGCCGTGTACGACGTGTCCAACAGCCGGCTCTCCCGCGCAGCCTGGGCCGTCTGCAGCCAGCACGCGCCCTGCATGTCGCGCAGCTTGCTTGCCACGGGCGCCTGCAGCTTGAGCGTGCTCTCCACCAAATCCAGCAGCCCGCGCCGAAGCGACAGCAGCGCCTCCCGGTCCTCAAACGTGTGCTTCGTCAGCTTGTAGCTTGTGGACCACTGGCTGTCGAGCTTGCGCAGCCGACTCAGCACCACCGTGCAAGGCAGCTCCTCAATGGGCCGCACCCGTGTCAGCATGGGCGAATGTCTTCCTGCCGCCGCGGATGTTGAAGAGGTCAGCGATGCTGCGGCTGCTGCTGCGGCTGCTGATGATGATGATGCTGCTGTGGTGGTTGGCGATGATGGGAGAAGGAAAGAGCGCACAACGTGCTCAAATTCGTGCAGCATCTGCAGCCGCAGCACCTGCGGATATGCCTCTGCGTACGAGTCCGACGCAATCGGGGACAGCGTCACCAGCGGCTGCAGGACACAGTCGCGCGAATGCTCGAGCACGGCCGTGAACTTGGTTGCGTCGTGTTGCCGGGCAGCGCTGAACAGGAGTGCAAGCTGTGCTTGGAAACTGGCCGGGAGACGGCTGCTGAAGAAGGATGCCCCGTTAATGCCACCATGGGCGCTTGTAGCACCGCAGGACACGTTGCCACCGCCGGTTGCTGTCGTTGACATCGATGCTGCCGCTGCTGTAGCGATGCGCTCACCAAAACCGACAGCAGATGAGGCCGTGGTTGACGCGGCCGTGGCTGCGGCTGCGGCTGCTGCTGCTGCTGCTGCTGCCAGCGATGCGCCCGTCTCTGGCTGCAAGAGGCACGCAGCATGCGCGGGACTCGGGCCGACAGCGCCGTTGGTCACACTGCCGAGGCCACCAATGCCACCACTACCGCTGGTGGCGTTGCTGCTGAGTGAGAAATGGTGGTGATGATGCGCAGGGCCGAGCAGAAGCTCTGGCTCTGCGTTGTCAATCACGTCCCACTTGCCGAGCTTCCACGCCGCCTCAAACCTGTAATCGCTGACCACACCGCGCCATGCCGGCTGCTGCGTGGCCAGGCCCGTGGCGGTGATGAAAGCGCTCTCCATGTGCCCGAGCTTCATCTGGCACTCCAGCAAGCCGCAGTGGTAGTCCAGGTTGCCTGCGTGCATGCGCAGCCCTTGCTCGTAGCAGGACAGTGACTCGGTCCAGTGGCCCGTTGCCCTGTGGTCGAGAATTTGCTCCTCAAGCGACGTGTGCGTGCGCGTGGCCGCGACGCCGAGCATGCCGTCCGGGTCGCGCAGCGCAGCGTACGTCTGCTGCAGAAAGGGGAGAAACTCCTTGCGCACGCGCTCCTCGTCCGGGCCATGGCGCATCTTCTTCAGATACAGCTCGCTATGCTTGAGTGCACGCGTGTAGTCGTTGCAACGGAAGGCCGCGCGAGCCAGTTCGTCCTGCGGCATGCGGTCCAGAAACGCCTCCACGTACTGCAGGTCGGGTGGCACGTTGACCACGTTGGCGGCGCCGCGGCGGCGCTGGCGCGAGCTTGGGATGAGCGAGTAACGGCGCTTGGCCGCCCAGCGCGTCAGGTTGTCCACAATCGCAAACACAATCTTCGTGCTCAGCAGCATGTACTGCGCACGCGTGTGCGACGTGAGACGCGACGATGCCTGTTGTTGTTGTTGTTGTTGTTGTTGTTGCTGCTGCTGCTGTTGTTGTTGTTGTTGTTGCTGCTGGTGGTGGTGTTGGCGCGCACCTGTGCAGGCTTGGCCCGTGGCTGAGGTGGTGTTGAGCGTTGTGTCGAGGGTGGTGTTGTTGAGGGTGGTGTTGTTGAGGGTGTTGTTGTTGTTGTTGTTGTCGTGGGTGTTGCGGTTGAGCACGGCAGCCATGAGGTGCGCGTCTCCCAGCACGACGCTCGTGTCACCAGGAAGGTTGAGCGAGCTTCGGCTTGCCATGCGGCTGCTGGCAAGACTGACGCTGCCACGGGAGGGTGTGCGGTTGCCCAGCGTTGCAGTAGCAGCAGCAGCAGCAGCAGCAGCAGTGCCGGCGCCAGTCGCGGTTGTGGCCATGCCCAAGACGGAGGCGTCAGCCATGGCGGCGTGCAGCGGCATCTCGCCTCGCAGCACAGCGAGAATCTCCTCCACAACCTGGTCCACGAGCTGCTGCTGCCGCACCTCGGCCTCCATGACGACGTAGCGCACAATATACGGCATGAGGAACGTGCTCATGTCGTGGCTGTCGCGGAACATGGCGTGGCACGCCGCAAAGAGCTCGCGCTCCATGAAGAACCGGTCGCCGTCGTGGTCATCCGGAATGTCGATGCCGTGCCGCCGCTTTGTGCTGTGCGATGCGCCGTGCTTGGCGGCGTCCGCCTTTGCCTCGTCGTCCGCGGGTTGGAAGAAGTTCTTGATGAGGTGAAACGCCCACTTGTCCATCCACTGCTGGAAGGAGGTGCAGGTGCTGAAGAACGGCTGCCCGGCGTATTCGCTCGGCCGCGCCCACTTGCGGCCCTTGCGCGTGTACATGGACGCGGCGTAAGGGAAGGCCACCAGCCGCACCGTCTTGTCCAGCTTTGGCCAGAACGACGGCGCCTGCGGCTGCGTCATCTCCACGGTGAGCGTGGGCGGGCAGCCAAGCGCCTTCAGGCACTTTTGCAGCGTGAGGGCGGCGCGGTCCTGGGAGGAGTTGTCGTTGGCGGAGAGCAGGGCGCGCACGAGGTGGTCGCTCACCAGCCGCATGACAAACGCGTCCTCCTTGATGGTCATGCAGAAGAGGTCCTGCACCGTGTCGTGCAAGGGCACGGGCCCGATGCGGCCCGGGTCTGTGGCGCCAAAGAGGCCCAGGCAGCGGCCGCAGCGACGCCGGAACGCGCGGCTGGCGTCGCGGCAGCCGTTGAGGGTGGCGGAGAGCAGGCGCACCACCACGCTGGACAGCGAACCCTCCTGCTTTGGGCCCTCGGCAACATCCGTGCTGAGCAGGCCGCTGGCGTTGTGCTTGCGCAGCAGCTGCTCCAGCTTGGAAAACGCCAGGGCGCGCACCTCGGACGACTCGTGCAGGAGCGCCTTTGTCAGCTGCTGGAACGAGCGCATGAGCGCGTCAACCTGCCGCGGTTCCAGCACGTCCGAGGCGCTGCCGTCGTCCCCGCCCGTGCTGCCCTTGGCCGTCGTGGCGGCGCTGCTGGCTCCGTCTCCAGCGTCCGCGCCCGCGCCCGTGGCGGTCGCAGATGTCGGCGTGAGCGACGGCAGGCTGCCTTCCAGCTTGTGCGTGTGCTTGTCCAGAACCTCGTTGACGGCGGCAAACACGGGCAGACGCGGCAGGCAGAAGATGTTCTGGCAGTACTCTGCAAAGATGTCCTCGTTCTGCACAATGAGGCCCTCCAGCACGTGCGCCGTCTCCCGCGGCCGCGTTTCTGCGCAGCGAATCGCCATCACAATCAGCTGCACCAGGATCGACCCGAGCGCGGGCTTGGACAGCAGTTGTGCAAACCGCAGGCACGCCTTGAGCGCCAGCGGCTCCAGGCTCCTTGTGTGCATGGCCGTGTTGATGACACGCAGCGCGGGGATGCGCATGAGCTCCAGGTTGCGCTCGCCCAGCACCTCAATCAACGCAAGGAAGCCGCCAATGGCCCTGCGGCGCTCTGTAATGACGTCGCTGGCAACACACGTGCGCAGCAGCGTGAGCATGGCCAACACAAATGGCTTGAGAAACGCCTGCAGCTTCCTCCTTTCTGCAGTCTCGCCCGCCCGTCCATCAGCATCAGCACCAGCGTCGTCGTCGTCATGTTCCGGCATTGTTGCGGTTGTTGTTGTTGTTGTTGTGGTAACTGTGCCCTTGCTGCGGCTATGTCGCGATCCTCTGCGCTTCGACTTGGCTGCGGGTGAACGAGACTTGCTGCGGGCGGACTTGCCCGTTTTAGGCGATCGCCCCCGCGCCGGCATCCGTCCTCGTGCCCCCGCCTTCCTTGACGCACCGTCTGTGGTGCCGTCGTCGTCGTCGCCATCACCATCGTTGTCAGCATCGTCATCATCCAACAGGATCACCTCATCATCGCCACCATCAGCGCCATCGCCGCCGCCATTGGTGCGACGGCCCGTCTTCTTGCTGGTGCCTCCGTCACTCGCCGCCTCCCTGCGCTGCTGCTCCTCCGCCTCGTGCTGCTTGCGCCCAATCTCGGCGTGCTCCATGACCAGGTGCAGGGCGGCGCTGAACCGCGTGCGCTTGTGGGCAAGCTCGTCCGGGTCGAGGAACATGATCACCCGGTACAGAATCTGCAGCGCGGAGAAGGAGATGACAATGTCTGGGCGGTCGTGGGCGTGCCGGCGGTAAAACTCAAACACCTCCGACAGCTGGGACGACGGCACGCTGATGAAGATGGCGGAGAAGATGAAGCCGGCCATATCCACACCAAGGTAGTCCGGGGACTTGCGCACCACCTCGGACAGGCGAAGCAGCACCTTCTTCTTCTTGTGCTTGAACACGTGCGGCAAGGTGTACTTGAGCGTGCTGTTGAAGAACTCCAAGCGGGACGTGTCAAACAGCAGCCGCACTACGGCCTCCGGCACGGGGTTCTCGGCCAGCGTGTCCACGAGCCCGCACGAGAGGCTGGTCATGTGCGCGCGTGTGATGTCGCACACGCGCTTGTTGCGTTGCTTGGCGTAGGCCTGCACGGCGCTCACGGCGACGGCGGCCGGCTCGGGCTGCTGCAGACACATGACCATGATCAGCAGGGACAAGAACGCTTCCTCCTGCTGCGGGGTGGCAGAGCGAGCAAGGCACTGCGCAATGGTCTCCACAAGCACTTCGAGCATGTCGGTGTGCGGGTGCTGCGCAGCCGCCGTCACCGCCGTGTACAAGTCCTTGGAGAGCTGATCGCAGGCGTGCGTGTCGAAGCGGGGCGAAACGCACGCCAGGCATGTGGACAGCGCCTGGCGGACGCACCGGGGCTGTTGGCTGCACGCCAGCAGCACCGATCGTAGCACGCTCGACGACCACGCTGTATGCGACACCAAGGCGCCTCTGACACGTGCGTGGTCGCGTCGGCACAAGGCCGCACCACCACCACCACCACCATCACCACCATCACCACAAGCATACCCGTCCAAATCACCGCTGTCCACGTTGGTGTGACGGAGGGCATCCACATTTTGCTGCTTGTGCTGCTTCTGAACCGTGTGCGTGGTGTTGCTGGTGCTGTTGTCCTTGTCAAGGGAGAAGGGAAATAGGTGGTGATACGCGACGAACGCGCGCAACGCCAACACACGCGCGTGCGGGGACCCAAATGTTGCCAGTGGCAAGAAGCTCTCAAACGCCACCAGGTTCCCACGAATGCGGCCGCGAGTGCTGGTGAGACCATCGTCGTCCATGTCATCCTTCGCTGTGTCCATCACGGTCACCGTCATTGATGCGGAAGCGCTGGGGCCTGTCGCTAACATGGTCTGTGCTGGGGCGTGCCGTTGAAGCACAATGCCACCCTCGCATGATGGCGTGGGTGATGCGCAACTGGCAAATGGATGTGTGGTAGAGGCGGAAACAACTGCAGCCGAGATGGCAAAGGATGCGCTGGTGGAAAGGTCGCAAGTGGCACTAATCGAGGTGGCAGCACGGGGCTGTGTTGCTGCCTCTGCCGGTGCTGTGCCACCGTCTTCAGTCGATGGCGGTGCTGGTGCTGGGGGCACGGCGGCCGCAGTGTCGTGCGGGCTGTGATCGCATGACGCATGGCACAGGGCTGGCGAGGGGTCCTGCCAGCGCAGGGAGTGCGCGGCGTGGGGACAGCACGGATGGCAGGTGAGGGCCACGTGCGCATCTGGTTCAAACAGCAGCACAGCGAGCTGATGCGCCACGCGGGACAGCGTTGCCGACAGCACGTCCACAGCAGCACTCGATGATGTGGCGGCTGCCGCAGCAGAGCTGGTGAGGGAGTTGGCGATGGCGCAAACGGTGGTGTAGAGTTCACGCTGACTCTGCGACAGCCCACCCGCAGATGAACAGCTCCGGGCAAACAAGACCGGCAGCGCACGCAACGCTGCCACCTGCAAGTGCAGCCGTGCGTTGATGGTGGCTGCATTGCTGCCGTGAGCGGTGCTGGAAGTGGTGGTGGTGTTGGTGGTGTTGTTGGGGTTGTCGTTAGTGGTGTGGGTGTGGGAGTTTGCGTGTAAACACAAGCGGAACATGGTGTTGCTGAAGGTGTCTTCCTTTCGCCGAGGGAAGAGCGCAATGGCAAACAAAAACTCGTCCACCCATCGCGTTGCTGTGCATGCGTGTTTGCCGTTCTTGTCGCTTGGGCGTTGCCGCTGCAGTTCCGCTGTCAGTTGCGATTGCTGGAAGGGCTGGGTGCAGGATGCAGAGTCGTGTGGAGGCACGGTCCAGTCAATGTGGGCTGCGAGGGAGCGCATGTCGGGGATGGTGGAGTTCACAGCAGCTTTGGCGGCACCATACTGATCGTCATCCATATCACTTGGTGGCGGTGGTACATCGGACAGCAGCCACGGCAGCATGCAAACACCCTTAACCAGCAGCAGCGTGTCGGGTGGAATGGCGAGGCCGGGAATGGCCAGGAGGGAGCACATGACACTGGCGAGGAGATGAAGCGTTGTGGGCAGGTGTGCATCTCGTGGTAACGACTCAAGCACCGGCTGCCACAGCGCTGCCATGTCGGAAAGCCGCAGTTGTGCAGGCGTTACAGCGGGCTCCACAGCCACACAAGCAGCAGCCAAGCGAAACACGTTTGCCTGGCATGACAGGCACAAGTGCTGTGTGTGTGTGTGTGTGTGTGTGTGTGTGTGTGTGTGTGTGTGTGTGTGTGTGTGTGTGTGTGTGTGTGAGTGAGTGAGTGAGTGAGTGAGTGAGTGAGTCAGGGAGTGAGTCAGGGAGTGAGGCAGGGAGTGTGTCAGGGAGTGTGTGAGAGTCAGTGAACAAGAGTCAGTGAATGTGCGTGTGCGAGTGGGACAGTGAGTGAGTGAGTGAGTGAGTGCATGTTCGTGGGCACGTTCTCCGTTCTGAACGTACCACATCCTGCCAAGGTGTGTTTCCAGACTTGAGCTGGTGGATGACGTCGTGGGTGAGCTTGACCGTTGTTCGCACAGCCTCGGCAACCAGCCAGATGCTGCTCGCACCTCCCTGTGCAGACGCACCACGCTGCTGGTTCTGTTGTTTCGGGCGCTTTGGGTCGGGCGCACCGTCACCGTTGTCATCGTTGTGATCCGCGGCGTGCTTGAAGACGTGGGCCGGGTCTGTGGCGTGCAGCCACGCAGCGCGGTCTTCCCGGCTTGGAAGGTGCACCAGCCATCGCACCGCAACAAACAAGACATACACGCTGCTTTCGTGCACTTGAAGCGTCGTGAGGCGTCGCATGCTCGCATGCAGCAGGTCAACTACCATCGGCGTCCATCCCTGTTTGGTGTGACGTGTTGCACATGCGCGGTGGAATGTAACAAGCGGCGTGGCGTGTGAATGCGTGTCGTGGATGGACAACTGGAGAGGGGCTGATGGACAAATGGAGGCTTATGCGTGGACAGCGGTCAAGACGTGTAGCGTGCAGAAAATCGTGGTCTTGAAAAAAACTACCGAGAGTGTGTCGGAGAACTTGGCTGTTGGGTGGGACGCAGCGACTAACGCGCCATCCAGGAAGCGAAAGCATGCCATCTGTTGTGCACGGGCAATTGTGCAATGTGTGTTGTGTATGTGTGTGTGTGTGTGTGTGTGTGTGTGTGTGTTGTTGTGTGTGTTGTTGTGTGAGGGGCGTTGGCATGGAAAGCAGCGGCCCCTCAAAACCTGCACTTGCATACGAACATGCACACATGCACACACACATGCACACACACGCATTACAGCCACACACACGCACGCACGCACACATATTATACACATATTATGTTGCGTACAAACCCTGGTGCTTGGGATGACATGGGGACGGAAGAGGACAGTGAGGGGAAACTGGGCAGGGCAGCGCAGCTGCACTTGAGGCGATGGGGTTGATGGCAACGCAACCATAGCGAGTGGGTGCGCACCACCACCAAAACTGCCACTCTTGCTGCTACTGCTCGTGACAGTTGGTGCTGCCAACGATGAAGAGTCAATGGCACTCTCAAGTAACGCTCGCAACGCACCCTGCGGGCAACGTAGACGCACCAAGCAAGGCATGTGAGCAGCGTTTCAACGCAAGCAATGCGTGATGCGTACAGCACACAGCAATGATCATGTGTGTGCGTGTGTAGTTGTCTGAGCATACATGTGCTCAAGTAGCCACGCTGACCTGTGTTTCTGTATGCTTGAGGAGCGGTTGGTGCGCACACACGAGAAAGAGGGAGGATAGGGTCAGCTGCATGAACACGGGCGTGAGTGTTGATCGACCAGGCTGCATTGTCCACATGTGACGCAGCGCCCTGAAGAACATCTGTCGTGTGTAAGTGTCAGTGTGTGTGGTGTGAGAGTGTGTGTGTCAGTGTGTGTGTGTAAGTGTGGTGTGAGTAAGTGAGCGAGTGAGTGGGTGAGTGAATACGCAAACAGGCAAGCGAACAGGTGTGTTGTCAGGGTGCAGTGCAAACAAAAAAATGACGCATAACATAACCACCACACACACACACACACATTCACAAACACATGAGACACGCACGCACCGTCGCCATGGTAGGGGTTGCGATATCAAAGATGGAAGGGGCAAGGTGGTTGAGGTAGCGCGTGAGGAGGGATTCACCAAACGCACAGCGCTCCACCAAGAGACCAAAGAGTGGCTGCAGATGTGCCAGTGCGTTGACCACCGCCAGTGGCCGGAGGCGGAGAGGGCTCGTTGCATCTCCATCATGGCTGCTGGTGGTCGTGGTGGTGGTGGTGGCAGTGTAATTGGTGTTCATGTTGTTGGCACAGAGCAAGCGCAGGTGAAACGAGTGATGAGGGCAGTGAAGAACAGAGTCGTTGTTTGGGCTGGTGTGTTCTCAGTGCAAGCACAGAACGGACACTTGCTCTTGTTGTGTGCGTCCTTTGCACTCCATCAAACCGCACACCTGGATGCGGACCGAAGATGCAGCTCTGCGGGCTCGACAACGCTGGCTTCGCCTTTCTGGCGGCTCGTTTGCACCACTGCTCGCGCGCGCGCGCGCGTGTGTGTGTGTGTGTGTGTGTGTGTGTGTGTGTGTGTGTGTGTGTGTGTGTGTGTGTGTGTGTGTGTGTGTGTGTGTGTGAGTTTCACAAATACGAGGCGTATGAGATGCGTTGGAAGAACACAAAGAGGAGGAAGGAGGAGGAGTTGGGGGATACAGGCAGAACGTGCATCGCCGCCAGAAGATGCTGCACCTTGATGCAGGTAGAACATGTAGTCCAGGGCGAGGATGGCAATGGGCTCCAAGTCAATGCCAGTCTCCTCCGATGCCTGAGTATGTGGTTGTGCATGACAGACCAGGGTGAGTGGGCAGACAGAATGGCAATGCAGCGCAGTGTATCGCAGCGCAGCGCAGTACGGTGAAGTGGTGACCGTACAGCTGCCTGCTGGTGCCACTGCAGTTGGTCACACCTGTATTAAGGACGCGAGCGCGTCATCGGCGTGGGGTTGCAGTGCGGACGTGTTGTCAAAGAGCACCAGCACCAGCTTGGAGAAGAGCCAGCCATGGAATGGCAGTCGCGCCATATGCGCTGGTTCAGTGACACGCTTCGTGTCGTGGTCTTGTTGATGCTGCTGCTGCTGCTCATGCTGCTCACGCTGTGGTTGCTGTTGTCGTTGCTGCTGCTTTACGGAGGTCGTGGTGAGGGTGTCGTCCAGCAACCGCTGTATGCTCCGCAGACCCGTGCTCAGCCATTTGATAAACAGCACGCTGTGCCTATGCTTAACTGTGTTTGTGTGTATGTGTGTGTATGCGTGTGCGTGTGTGTGTGCGTGTGTGTGTGCGTGTGTATGCAGGAGTTGAGGCGTGTGCTGGTGGGTAGGGAAGCACGACAGCAACAGTCGACGAGTGCGGGTATATCACAGCACGTGCAAGATCAAGCCACGCAACGCAGCGCAGCCGCGCGGGCACGGACTGACTTGGTGGTCGCAGATGCTGCAGGATCCAATCCCTCAGCGTGCGCCTGCAGTTGAGGACGCTGTTGTGTGCACGAAGGAGCTTGTGAGTGGTGGAACGCAAAGATAGACGACACGCATCCCACACACACACACACGCTCCACTGGCTCACGTTTGTGGATCGTCGCTGTCGGATTCAACGATCACATTGTATAGGCTCTGCAGTGTCGGGTCCATTACGACACGGCCACGACGCAAAGACTAGAGCTAGGCAAGCAAGGCGAGGCGCGACGAGCGGCGGCACCAGTTCACAGCTGTTCGGTGGCGGGAAAAACGGAATGAGCGTTTGCACAAAACCGGCAAACACGTTTGAACAGAAGACGAAAGGAACAGTTCGGCCAGCCCTTGTTTCACTTCTTTCTTGTTGTAACTGCTGCTTGCAGCGTCTGCGCACACGACCTGGCCTTGATTGGAAGTACACGTTGCTTGCTGGCTTCATTTCCCCAACCAGCCCCACCACCTGTATCGATCGTCAACCCGAGCAACATGAGCGAGAAAGAGCTGGTGACCTGGGCTGCCAAGGAGCTGGCCAGGCTGTCCACCGACCTCGACGTTGACACGGCCCAGGATCAAGTGCAGTAAGTCGCGGTGTGAAGTGTGACAGTGACTCAGTGAACCCACCTCTTGCTTGCTTGATGCCACTCTCTGCTGTACCTTTGCTTCGCTCACACATGAATGCATACACATGGGTGCACAACCACCCAACACACACACACACACACACACGTGTTCAGGTACATGATGGGCATGGATGAGCGTGACTTTCGGGAGTTCTCCGCTGACATTGCAGGCGGTGCGTCATCACGGGTCAAGTCCTTCCAGGATGCGTTCATCCGCAAACGCACAGCCCTCAAAGCTGCGGTGGGTGCGCTCTGTCCTTGCCTCCGCCTCTGCTTCCTCCTTCTGCTTCCTCCTCCTGCTTCCTCCTCCTGCTTCTGTCTCCGTACATCACCTTGCTCTATCTACTCACATGTTACGTCTCCCACCTTTTGATGCAGCGCGCGGAAGCAAAACAGGCCAAGAAGAAGCAGCAGCAACAACAGCAACAACAGCAGGAGCAACAGGCAGCGGAAGCTTCCGCTGCGAGCAAGGCTGAACAGCAGTCATCAAACTCCAAACAAGCGGCAACCACAACAACCACCACGAAGAAGAAGAAGAAGACGACGAAGAAGCAGGAGGCCTCTCAACAGAGCAGCAGCGCCTCTACATCTGCATCTGCCTCGAACACAGGCCTCTCTTCCGCGTCCTCGTCGGGAAAGACCAAAGCTGCAGCGAACAAGGGAAGCGAGCGATCAGCGAAGGCTGCTTCCAGTTTCATGTCGGGCATCTCGTCCAATGTTGCGGCAGCCTCGTCCTCCTCCTCTTCTTCGTCTCGTGCGGTGCGTTTGCATGGCACTGTGTGTGTGTGAGTGTGCGTGCGTGTGTGTGTGTGTGTGTGTGTGTGTGTGTGTGTGTACATGTGTGTGTGTGTGTGTGTGTACATGTGTGTGTGCACGTGTGCATGTGTGTGTGTGTGTGCACGTGTGCGCTTTCACGGTGCTGACCGCCGTGTCTGTGTGGCGCTTGCTCCAATTGCATCAACTGCTTCTTGACACGCTCGGTTTTTGCGTTGCCTTCAGGCACGCACGTCGCGGCAAAAGTCCAAGGTCAAGTATGTGGACTTTATGGACAAGAGCGGCAAGTCTGCGGTGTCCGACCTTGTTCCTGGCCGCCAGCCCTGCGAGTGCCTGGCCACCACCCATGCGCTGATCAACAACTGCCTGCAGTGCGGGCGCATCGTGTGCGAGCAAGAAGGAATGGGCCCCTGCATGACGTGCGGGGCGCTGGTGGTGACGCCGGACAAGCAGCAGCTGCTGCAGCGCAACTCCATCCAGGCCAAGAAGTTTCTGGAGCGGTTGATGAAGAGCACAAATGTGGACAGCAAGATGGACATGGACGTGTTTCGCCGTTCCGCCCTCGTGTCTGGCGGGAAAGATGTCACAGAGGGCCTTGCGCGCGCCCTCGCCAGGAAGTGCGTTCAAGGCATGCATGCCTGATTGTGTAGTGTGTGTGTGTCTTGTGTGCATGGCCGTGTTTGTGGGGTTGAGTGTGAGTATTCACGCTTATGTGCACCTCTGCGTGCGTGTGCTTGTTTGTGTGTGTGTGTGTGTTGTGTGTTGTGTGTGTGTGTGTGTGTGCGTGCGCCAGTGTGTCTGTCGATCTGAATACGACGTTGCCTGCGTGGGAGACTCACCCTGCTTCCCTCGTGTGTGCAAAACGCACGCACACGCACGTGCGTGCGACAGGAACATGCTGCTTGATTTCGATCGCAACAGCGCCAAGCGCACGCGCGTCATCGATGACCAAGCCGACTACTTCTCCACAGACGCAAACAAGTATGTGCTCCTTGTCCAGAATGCACACATGCGCGCTCTCACGAGTCTGCTTGTTTTCTCTGTCCCTCGCACACACACATACTCACGACACACGCACGACGCACACACACGCGCACACACAACACACACACACAATACACACAGGTACTTGAGTCGCAAGCAGCGCGACGAGCTGCGGGCACGCGAGGAACAATTGCGGCAGGAGCAGAAGGACGCGCGCCGGAACCGCACCATCACCATTGACTTTGCTGGCCGTCGCGTCATTGACAGCGGACCACAGGTTGTGGATGTGTACGCAAAGGCAAAGCAGGAACAAGAGGTGGAGGAAGAGCGGGAGCGGGAGCGTGTTCGCCGCATCGTCAAGCCAAAGCCAGACGTGCAAGGTATGTGTACGTGTGTTCACGTGTGTGTGTGTTCACGTATGTGTGTGTGTGTGTGTTCACGTGTAGGTGTGTGCGCTGTGTGTACATGTCCGTGTGTGTCGTTGTACATGTGTCTGTGTGTCTGTGTGTCCATGCCTACCTGTGTGTGCCTTTGGCCATCGCCTCTCCCCCTCTCAAGAGGCAGCGACACGTGCAGGATTGGGCGAGAATCCGATGCTGCAGGGCCAGATGAAGCGACCGACATTCAAGAAGGGCGTCCTTCCAGAACAGGACCAGCACGGCACCGACAAACAGCAACAACAGCAGCAGCATCAGCATCGCCACGCAGCCTCCCGCATTCAGGACTCTGGGCTGAGTGAGATGACGGATGGCGGGTATTGTCTGAGCATGCATCAGCCGTGGGCGAGTTTGCTGATCAAGGGCATCAAGATGCACGAGGGCCGCGTGTGGTATTCCTCGCATCGTGGTCGATTATGGATTGCAGCCGCGGCCAAGGTGTGGCGCTTGTTGTTTGAGTTGTTGTTGTTGTTGTAGTTGTTGTTGTTGTAGTAGTTGTTGTTGTTGTTGTTGTTGTTGTTGTTGTTGTTGTTGTTGTTGTTGTTGTTGTTGTTGTTGTTGTTGTTGTTGTTGTTGTTGTTGTTGTTGTTGTTGTTGTTGTTTGTTTGTTGTGGTTTCGTGACTCGTCGTTTGCTTCGTCTTCATCCCTTGCTCACCATGCTTTACTTGTGCGTGTTTGCGTCAACAGCAACCTGAGCCTGAGGACATTGCAGATGTGGAACAGCAGCTGCGTGATCATTATGACAGGGATTTTGACTTTCCAACCGAGTACCCGACTGCGTGTCTCCTCGGTATGTAAACCCATATTGTGTGTGTGTGTGTGTGTGTGTGTGTGTGTGTGTGTGTGTGTGTGTGTGTGTGTGTGTGTGTGTGTGTGTGTGTTGGTGTGGCATTGTTGGGTTGCAGGGAGCTGATACTTGCTGGAATGGCACCTGTTTTCGTCGCCAGGTTATGTGGATGTAACGGACGTCCTACCACAGGAGGAATACAGACAGCGGGTATGTTCGTGTTTCCATCCGTCAGTGTCATTGCTTCTTCTCGTCGACCGTGATCGTCCAGTGAAGTGTCAGTGACCTCCTCACTACACACCTCACCCTCGTTGTGGTTGTTCGTTGTTCATTGTTCATCCTTCATTTGCAGTTCCCCAACGGCCCATCAATGATGCCCTTTGTCTTTATCTGCGACAACCCTCACGAGCTCGTCATCAAGTACCCAGTCAAGGTGCGTGCATGTGGTGTGTCTGTGTCTGTCTGTGTCTGTGTCCGTGTTCATGTGTGAGAGTGTGTGTCTGTGTGTGTGCGTGCGTGTCGTGTGTTTGCATTGTCTTTCCACGTGTTGCTGTTGGCGAAACACAAGCAGCAATCTGTGTTTTCCTTACGCCCCCCCACACACACACACACACACAAACGCGCGCGCGCTGTGTGCTTGCAGGGCCAGCACAAGATCTGGAAGCTGGACCGCACCATGCACGCAAACGCAAAAGCGGCACTGCAAGCCGTACCCGCCAACGAAATCGCTGTGCCTGACACCAATTAAACCCGCACATACTGAATTCAGTTCCATTTGCCTGCACGCAAAATCAGCAAAGCAGGCAAGCAAGACAGCCACCAAATCCATTTGTTCGCACACGCATTCCATGCAACGTTCCAAAGGGAAGCAACGTGCATGCCAGTGACCATGGCGGTGCGGGGGTCGCCAAGGCGATGATGGGGTTCCAGTGACCAGTGGAATCACGCCCACACACGCCATGACATTGCTGCGCGCATGCGTTGCAGTGCACATGCATGTGTCTCTCCCTTCTGCCTGTCCTATTCATGTTGTGGCGAGCTGGGCCCGCGCAACACACCACTTGCACCTTCTTCGCTGGCACGACAGTGCGTGCGGTTCTTTCGTCTCAGCCCTTCTTCGTGTGGGCTGTCTGTGTTGTGTGGTGTCTGCATCGCTTGTGAGTGGGAGGAGGTGTGTGTGTGGGAATCAGTTCACGTTTGACACCTTCACTGCTGCCATTGCCGACGAGCATTGCGTATACAAACCACACTGCTGTTTCTTCTTCGCCTTGGTTGCGTGCAAGCAAGCCAGGACGCGTGGCTGCTTTTGGATCGCGCGCAGGTTGGTCGCGCACACACCCCATTTTCATCTCCACTTGCTTCCCCCAAACTAGTACACTCTCTCGCTCACGCAAACAAGTAATCACACACACACACACTCACACACACACACTCACTCACTCACTCACACACACTAGCATTTACACACAAACGCACGTACTCACGCACATAATCACATCCGAACTCTCGTTGGCACAGTGCCATTCTTCTCGCCACCAGCCAGCCAGCTTTCAGTGCTGCTGATCTCCCCACACCCCTCTAAGTTCCGTGGTGGTCCCTTGTCGCCACCCCACCACTGCTGCCACCATTGCTGCCACCATTGCTGCCACCACTGTGCCACCACCACTGTTGTCACCGCCACAGTATGCTGCCGGGCTGCACGAGCCGTGCCCGGTCGCGCACGCCGCCAGTGGCACCCAGTAATGGCAGCCTGGTCGTGTGGCTGACCCTGGCCCTGCCCTTGCTTTTGGTGCACCTAATCGATGCCCAGCAAACTCCGTTGATGAAGGCGTCTGCGACCACCGTCAACAACACCAGCTACATCCGAGACGACGTGGTGACATCAACAGCAACGCCAAACTCCGGGGGAGTGGAAGCGGCGCTCTCGCTCCCCGGCATCATCGGCATCGTGGGGGCAATCACCGTTGTTGCACTGGTGGTCATCCTCGCATTCAAGTACGCCAGCGACCGTCAGTCCAAGCGCTCAATGAGCGCCACAGCACTCACAGGTATGTGAATTGGCCTGCGCACTTGCTGGAGCATCACACCACATCACACTAACACTTGACTGACGCATCTCTGGTTGCACCTCGTCCCTTTCCTCTTTGCTCTTCCTTGACCCCTCTCTGTCTCTCTCACTCGCACACACACGCACACTCACCCACGCACTCACTCGCCCACACACACACAAGCACACTCACACACAAACACACACACACACACTCACACACACACTCACTCACTCACTCACTCACTCACTCACTCACTCACTCACTCACTCACGTCCACTTACAACCCCTCACACACCCACACACACACACACACACTCTCTCTCTCTCTCTCTCACTCACTCACTCACTCACTCACACACCCATTCACTCACACACACAAACTCACTCACTCCAACCCACCCACCAATAGACGCGCTGATCGAGCAGTACGCCAGTCAGGGTAGCGTGAAGGTGCGCGCAGATGGCCAAGAGAGCCACGGCGTCCTGCAGAAGCAGCGGCAGGCGACTGCAGCCAACAACATCATGCCAAACGGCAGTCTCTATACGGCACGCGCGCCACGCATGCCGTGCGACGAGGCCATCCTCGCGCCCCTCGCGGAGGACCCAGCCATGTCCTGGGACGGCGGCGACACCGTCATCTCCGTCAAGGACGGCATCTACTGCAACATCCGCGGAAAGCGGCAAACCATGGACCCGCCCTCTGAGGCCTCCACGTCCAGCGTCGTCACCGACACCAGCTCCACGGTACTCGACGACGACAACGGCGACACCGCCAACCAAAGAAGGAAGGTGCCCGAGTACATGCCCATGTACGCACGCGCAGATGAAGAAAGCGTCATCGGGCAGCTCGACCCAGAGGTGCGCGACATTCTTCGCAACGGCCGCCCGCCACCAAGCTCCTTCCGCCTCGAGTACGCCTGAGTACGCAGCGCAATGCGACGCGCTGGACACGTTCTCGCGGCCAGCGAACACCGACTTTGGTCCAACGGGTCAATTCAGCGTTGGGTGGCCGAGTGGCGCTGTCAACACACGATCGATGACGGTTGTGTAGTTGCAGCATGTGGGCGTGTGCTTGGTCATTTGGTTGTTTGCTGTTCCCTTGCCCCGCCCTTGCATCTACTATCTTGGGGCTTATATTGGTTATGTATGTATGTAATGTATGTATTTGTTACACGTTTTAATATTCCCGCCTTTGCACCTGTCAGGTTGTCTGTGCACGTGTGACACCTGCGAATGCGCGTGCATTCATTGCATTTATGTGACCTTGAATGGCACCGGCTGTTGCCGCTTGGCGACGGCAGCGTTCGACCAGAGCAGCCTCAGTGTCCGTTTGTTGTCTTGTTGTGAGGAGAGAAGCAGTTAGTTTGCATGTATGCGCGAGAATGTGTGTGCATGTGTATGCGTGTGTTTGCATGTGTGCATGTGTGGATGTGTGTGCATGGATGTGTGCATGTGTGTATGTGTGTATGTGCATGTGGTTGGGCGTGCGAAGGTGACACCACATGCTAGCGGTCACAACGGTCGATTAATGTAAAATGGAAGTAACGCAGCAACGCTCAGCAGGGCACAGTGGAACACGTCACCACACTGCAGTGGAGCAAACCAAAAGCGAGGGAGAGGGGGTCGGATGGGGCAGAGAACCAGCCAGAAGGATAAAAGAACAGTACAAGCACACACGCATGGTGTCTGCAAGCAAGAAAGGGGGGAAGGATTAAACAACCACAGGACGACAACAGCAGCTCCGGCGCGCTAAATGACCACCCAGCTGTCGTCAACATCACTTAGACTCGCTTGGCGGGAGACGCGGTGCCCGAGTGCGAGCAGAAGCCTCCTGCCTTCATCGCGCAGCGCAGTCAATTCGCCTCTCAGCGTGTCTGACTCCTACCAGCGCACGCGAACACGAAGCAACCACGAATTACCCGTGGGGGGCATGTATTTGCGCAACGGGCATGCTAGAGTCAGCGAGACAGAGAGACGGCGACAGAACCTCGGAGAGGGAGACACAGACAGACCTTGTCCACACATGCATGCACACACCCACACCCACACCCACACACGCACACACACACACACACGCACGCACGCACGCACACACCCACACACACTCTCTCTCACGCACGCACACACGCTCTCTCTCTCCCACGCACACACACACACACACAATTGTACCTCTAGGCTGGCGCGGGTGTCGAGGCTGGATAGCACTTGGTCGAACGTGGTGTCCCAAGCAGGCAATGCACGTAACTAACTCCCAACAACGAGTGGGCACAAGAAAATAAAGACGGTCGGTTGAGCAGGAGTTGGTGGCTGTGCCATGAGATTGAACCGCGTAGTTGGGCAACCCTCGCAAAGTCAATGTCATGCACAACTCATCCACTAACCGGCCAGTCTGGCTGCGAGGCAAGGTGTCCAAGCAAGGGTCGCTCCTGACGTACGATTTCCAACGACAGCAACATGAACACATAATCAGCACAGAGCACATGAACACAGACCAGAACAAAACAAAAACCTGCACACGCAGCAGATAAACACACGCGTGCACGCACACACATTCACACACATTCGCACACGTTCACACACACATTCGCACACGTTCACACACACACACACGATTGTGATACCTTGATGAGTTCCTTGATCAAGGCCTCGATGGTGCTGAGGGTGTCTTCAATGGATGGCCCGCTGTTCGCGTATGTCTGCGTGTGCAGTGTCGTCACACGCCCCTGAAGCGTGTCCAGCTGCAAAGCAAGCAGGGGAGGTGTCGGCATGCGACGGTGAGGGAAAGGAAGGGAGCATGAGCAACACAGGTGAGCGCATCCACGCTGACGGAAAACAACACACGCACATACGCGCGAGCACGAGGCAAGAACACCAAGCACACGATTGAATGCAGCACCCGTCCATGTGATATGACACAACAGCCAGCACACGCACACACTTACTAAAGGAGAAAACTGCATGGCAAGTGGTTCCAGAGCAGGAAAAATGACGCTTTCGAGCGCAAGCTGCCTGAGCAAGATGAGCGTGTTTTTGACAGCCTTGGGAAAGAGTGCGAGTGAGTGCGTGAGTGAGTGCGTGCGTGAGTGTGCGTGCGTGAGTGAGTGAGTGAGTGAGTGAGTGAGTGAGCGAGTGAGCGAGTGAGTGCATGAGGGAGCGAGTGCATGAGGGAGTGTGTGCGTGAGCATTGAGACACAGAGAGAGTCACTGTCACAATATCACAGTCTACACAGACCCAGAGCACACAGCCTCACAGCACTGCAGACACGAGCGCGCACCTCAAAGTCGACAGCAACACGGATGGCGACCAGCACTTCATCGGGCAAGAACTCGGCCACAACAGCGCGGTTCCTGCGGTACGTGCCAATGTGCGCTGTGTATGCGCTGAGCATGTTGGACACGACGCCTTTGGTGATTTTCGCTTCCACAGGACGCATGCGCCGCCCAGCCACCCGCTTCAACTGCAAACAGCCACCACAGTGCACACAAGGTGCAATCAAGGTTGTGCACGCATGTGAACTGCATTAAGACAAGATTGAAATGGAGCGTCGCCTGCTCCTGGTCTACAACACAAACAACAGCTGACACAACAGCAGCAGCAACGGCAGCAGCAGCAGCAATCAGACATAAGGCGTTGTGCACCTTTTGCAGGGTGACGAGCAAGTTCTGGAAGAGCTTGTCGAGGTCACTGTGGTGTTTGCTGATGGTTTTGGTGATGCCAGATGCACCGGCAATTCCTTTTCCCGTCGCCAACAAATGCGTGTCCTCCTTCACGAATCATCATGACAACGCGCAAAAATAAACACACAAAGATGGGAAGCGGAGGTACATGCGCGCGCATTTGTGCACGTGTGTGAATGAGAGTGTGTGTGAGTGTCAATATGAGTGTGCGTGTGTGAGTGTGAATGTGAGTGAATGCGAGTGTGTGTGTGTGAATGAGTGAGTGTGTGTGAGTGAGTGTGTGTGAAAACGAAAGTGTGTGTGTGTATGAGGAGAGTGTTCAGATCACGTGCATCAGGTGTCATTCCAACCTGGAAGCGGGCGAGGGCGGTGGTGATGCGATTGCGAAGCTGCATCAGCTCGGGGTACATTTGTATGATCTGTCAGCAACAGGAGTACAAGGACCTCTTTCCAGTCAGTGAGCCGCGCACATGCATATCCACGCATACAGCCACACGTGCACACGGATACATGTAACTACACACCAACACACACCCACACACACCCACACACACCCACACCCACACACACCCACACACACACACACATGCACGCACACAAGACACGTGCACAGGTGCAATTTCACGTGCATGCATGCATACACACACATACACACATACACACATGCAACTGCACAGCTTGCCTTCTCAAAGGCTGGGGATGGCGGGATAGTCTTGACACGGGCGAGTGTTTCCGGCTTGACAGTATCACCATTGGAGAGAGAGCGAGACACGCTGTGTTCGAGGCGCTTGTCCAGCTTTGTCGCCACCTCCAGCAAGTACAAGCAGCGCTCGCAACCAAGCAGCGTCATGCTGTTGTTGCGCTCGTACTCTGGATGCAGCACATCCACTTTGACCTTCCCGTCCTCCGTCTTAAACACCTGTTACACCACACACACACACACACACGTCCATGTGCGCATGCGGTTGTGCATGCAATGTTGTACGCGGTTGTGTATGCAATTGTGTGAGCGCTAGGTCGAATGATACATTTGTGAGTGAGGATGAGGCAGCGCACTTTACTGCAGCGAAGGGCGTGTGCGCCTTTCGTACCTCAACGCTTCGAAACAAGCACTTGTCACAGAATATTTGTCCACAAAGCCTGCGACAAGCGACACGCGCATCGTGAGCCACACCAACAGCGCAGTACCTGCACAATCATACACAATCACACACACATGCACACACACACACGCACACACGCACACATACACATATACAGCGCAGTACCTGCACAATCACACACATGCACACGCACACACACACACACACGCATACACGCGCATACATACAATCACAAAAACAGCGCACCTGCAGTGGTGTTTCCGGAGAAGCAGGCCGAATTCCCGTGAACAACCGGGGCAGCCACGTGCATTCTTGGCGACAGCCGCAGCACAGAAATTGACCTGACACGAGCAACCAGTGCAGCAAACAGCAAACCACAAGCGCAGACAGAGGGTGAGGCGGTGATGCAAGAAACAAAACGTTGCCCCCAACAGCAGTGTTTGCCGGAAGCAGCAGCGCGAGTATCCGAACCTTTGTCCAGCTTGGATCATAGCCGAGGGCTGTACTGAGCGTTGACATGGCTGGAGATGCTTCTGTACACGCCCGACACAAGTTGGTGGCTGCCCGTCGGATGTGCTCATCGCGACGCTTCAAATGCCGTTGTCTGCACACAACACAGAGAGGGAGAAGACGGGGGGGGGGAGAGAGATAGAGAGACAGGCAGAGACAGACAGGCAGAGGCAGACAGACAGACAGGGGCAGGGAGAGACAGACAGGGACAGGGAGAGACAGAGAACGCATGCACACGCACAGAATGCACACACACATACACACATACACACACCATACAAATGCACACGCACCAAGCAGGAGACGGTGAGCGCAGCGGATGGTGCTGGGGTGGATGGATCACTCAGTGGCCACGTTAGCACGCTCTCATGGACATGCACGCATGTTGGAGGCATCAGTCTTCCTACCTGAGCTGCTGAAATCGTGTGGTGTGGTCCGTGACTGGGCCCACGCCTTGCTCTGGCTCTTCCAAGTAGCACTGAAAGCACACGGGCTGGTGCGTTCCTGCCTCGATGATACCAGTATCATGAGCAACCACAGTGCATGTGCGTGAGCACGTGTGATGAGGTGATTGAGGTGAGGGCAAACTGATACTCGCAAACAAGACACATCAACCAGCCAAGACGCTGCGTTTGAATGAACCACACACATGGAATACGGTGCCGTGCCACTTGACTACGTGAACGACATGAAAACCGCATGAAAAAGGGTGAGGTTTCAAACCTGAGATTGGGTCTGGGCGGGCGCGGATGTCAAGCTTGCGCTGTTGTCTCATGCAACGCTTACAATGAATGTGGCCACACCGGCGACACCAGTGTCTTCTGTCGATGAGATCAAACCCGGCACCACACGCGCGGCACTTGTCCGTGTCAGTTGGCGCTTGCCAATGAACCTGCCCAAAACATATATGTGTGTGTGTGTGTGTACGTGCGTGAGTGTGTTTGTGTGTGTTTGCAAGTGTGTGTGTGTGTTTGCGAGAATGTGTGTGTCCAGAGTGACAATGAGGACGATGCACATGCAGCCGCAGCAAATGCAGCAGCAGTCTGCAACAAGTGCAAACACGTCTCTGTAAACCACAAACACACACACGCACACAGACACACACTCACACAGAGACACAAACACAAACACACACACACACAACCAAGTGCAAACAGTAGCAGCTTGCCTTTGTGATTGTTTGGGCTGTTCCCTCAGTTCCCTCATGGCAACCATCCCCCAGCCTGCCTGCTTCCGCCGCATCAATCACCTCAAACTCATCCTCATCCTCCCCACCATCTCCGCTGTTGCTTGTTGTTGTCCTCCTTCCCCTGCGTCTTCGTTCGTGACTCATCATCATCGATTCGATTTGCGAATTGCGGATCGTGTCGCGCGCGAATTACCGCAATTTGCAACACGCAGAAAAGCAACCGCCAAAATCCGCGCCAAGCAAGAGGAAGAACCACAAAAACGTGTTCCCCTCTGCGGCTGTGTGAGGTTGTGTGTGTGTGTGATGTGCGGTTGGTGGGTTGGTTCGCGTGTGATTGCTGGGTGTCCCCCACCGTCTGTGCATGCGTGCGCGCTCACGCTGCCTGGCCTGTGTGTGTGTGCTGTGTGCGCTGGGTTGATGTGACAGAAGACAAGCAAGCAAGGAAAGCAAGTGCAGTCATGTCGGACACAGAGCAGAAGCTGGCAGTGGACGGCGAGGAGGCCGCCAGGAAGCAGCAGACAGACGCAATGGACGTTGCGGCAGATGATGGTGAAGCAACGACAGACGCCACAGCCGCCAATGGCGCCACAAAGGAGGAAGACGAGGAAGCGTCAGAAAACGACGAAAGCAACGGAAATGGCGATGTTGAGGATGAGGAGCGCAGCCCATCGTCCAACGCTTCCGAGGTGGGGAGTTTGCAGTGCAGTGCAGAGCGTTTGAGGGGGGGGGGGTGCGGTGGTGGTGGTGGATTTGCACGGGCGTGGCCTTTCGTGTGGATGTGTGTATGAGAGAGCGTGTGTGTGTGTGTGTGTGTGTGTGTGTGTGTGTGTGTGTGTGTGAGTGTGTGTGTGTGTGTGTGTGTGTGTGTGTGAGTGTGTGTGTGAGTGTGTGTGTGGGAGGGTTTGTGTGTGTGTGTGTGTGTGTGTGTGTTGAATCTATTGCTTCGTCGACGCGTGCGCTCCATCTAATTATCCCCTTCGCCTGCGCTCACCTCTCGGACAGGAATCGAGCAAGGCTGGCGACAATGAAGAAGAGGGTCAAGAGGATGAGGAAGACGATGGTGATGATGAGGATGAGGATGACGAGGAGGATGACGACGAAGGTGCAGACGAAGATGAGAAGGTGAAGGAAGAGCAAGATGACCTGCACAAAGGCTACGTGTGGCCAGACCGCGAGACGCGCAACGTTGAAATCCGCCGCAAGATTGTACGTGAGCCTTGTTTGCATTTGCGTACATCAGTCGCTCGCTCAAACAGCAACTATGAGGCACACCATCATATCGTTGGCTGTGCCTGCTGCTTTTGTTCCTGTGCACGCAACACGTCAATTTGTGTGCACAAACGTAACATGAGCACGACCTCACCTACACAAGACGTCACGCACTCGCACATGCACACGCAATCGCACATAACTCACACAACTCACTCACACACACGCACACACAATTCAAACTCACACCACACACTCACACACCTCTTCTTGCACTCTCAACACGCACTCGCTTACTCACTCACACCCACTCTCTCACACGTGGCACCAACATCAGGCCCAGGATCAGCCGAAGCGCATCCACTACCTGGTTGAAGAGACGGAGCTGTTTGATCACCTTGTTGACCTTGAAAGCGTGCGCCGCGTTGACCCCCGCGGCAAGAAGCGCCGCCCCGGTGCCGGTGCCGCTTCCAGCGGCGGAGGTGCCTCGCGACGCCATCGCAAGACCGAGAAGGAGGAGGACGAAGAACTTCTCAAGGAGTGCGTGTGTATGTTGTGTTTGTGCGTGCGTGTATATGTGTGTTAATGTCATCACCATGCGTGTGTGTTTGCCGTGGCATTGTCCATCCGCTTTCTGTCGTGCTCTTGTGCGCGGTGAGTCACACGTGTTTCTTGCTCTTGACACGCAAACAGGGAGGCCGAGGTTGAAGACGACCACGTCCACTTCACTGAGTCGCCCAACTGTGCGTTTGTTTGCATTGCACACAGGTGTTTTTTTTTTTTTTTGGGTGTCCTCGCGCCCACATGTGTTTCAGACACCGCGAACACCACTGACGCTGTCATGACATGCTTGGGTTCCCTCCATGCCCGCATGCTCACACGCGCACTGACACGCACACGTACGCTCACACGCGTACTCACACGCGTACACACTGGCACGTACACACGCGCACTGACACGCGCGTCCACACTGACACACATACACATACACATATGTGTATCACATTGCAGACATTGCTGGTGGCAAAATGCGTGATTACCAGCTGCGCGGCCTCAACTGGCTCATTGGTCTGCACGCCAACTCTGTCGGCGGCATCCTCGCTGATGAAATGGTTCGTCAGCACTGGCTCACACAAATACAGCGCTGGCTGAGCTGGGTGCACAGACACAGTTGGAGAGAGAGAGTGTGTGTGTGTGTGAACTTTCACGCGCGAACAACCACACAAACACAAACACAAACACAAACACCCAAACACATGCACACACACACACCTCGCGCATTTGCTCACGCATGCCTTCTTGCCGTTGGTCGACATGTTGTGTGTGGCCTTGCAGGGTCTCGGCAAGACGCTGCAGACCATTTCGCTGCTTGGATACCTGAAGAACTTCCGGCGAATGGATGGCCCCTTCCTGCTGCTCGTGCCAAAGAGCACGCTCAAGAACTGGATGCGCGAGCTGGCAAAGTGGTGCCCAACCCTCAAGGCGGTGTGCCTGACGGGCAGCAAGGAGGAGCGCCCCAAGATCATTGAGGAGCAGATTATGCCCGGGCAGTGGGACTGCGTGGTCACCTCGTACGAGATTTGCGTCATTGAGAAGTCGGCGCTGAAGAAGTTTGTGTGGGAGTATATTGTGATTGACGAGGCGCACCGCATCAAGAACGAGAAGAGCAAGCTGTCGCTCATTGCGCGCGAGATTGAGAGCCGCAACCGCCTGCTCATCACGGGCACGCCGCTGCAGAACAACCTGCACGAGCTCTGGGCCCTGCTCAACTTTCTCCTGCCAGACATTTTCCAGTCGTCGGAGGAGTTTGACAAGTACTTCCACGCAGAGAACCTGCAGCAGGAGAGCATGGTGCACAAGCTGCACTCGGTGCTCAAGCCGTTTCTGCTGCGCCGCCTGAAGAAGGAGGTGGAGAAGAGCCTGCCGCCCAAGAAGGAGATTAAGGTGTACGTCGGCATGAGCAAGATGCAGCGCGACTGGTACAAGAACATCCTCATGAAGGACATTGACACCATCAACGGCGCCGGACGCGTGGAGAAGATGCGTCTCCTCAACATTCTCATGCAGCTGCGCAAGTGCTGCAACCACCCGTATCTTTTTGACGGCGCAGAGCCGGGCCCGCCCTTCACCACGGACCAGCACCTGGTCGACAACTCTGGCAAGCTGGTTGTACTTGACAAGCTGCTGACCAAGCTCAAGGCACAGGGCTCGCGCGTGCTCATCTTCTCGCAGATGACGCGTATGCTGGACATCCTTGAGGACTACTCCTGGTGGCGCGGGCACAAGTACTGCCGCCTGGACGGCTCCACTGCCCACGAGATTCGCGGCGAGATGATTGATGACTTCAACAGGCCAAACAGCGACAAGTTCATGTTCCTCCTCAGCACCCGTGCCGGTGGTCTTGGCATCAACCTCTACACGGCAGACGTCGTCATCATCTACGACAGGTGTGTGTGTGTGTGTGTGGGTGTGTGTGTGGGTGTGGGTGTGGGTGGATGGGTGTGTGGGTGTGGGTGGATGGGTGTGTGTGTGTGCCTGGGTGTGTCTTGGTGTGTGGGTGTGTGGGTGGGTCTGCGTGGGTCTGCGTCTGCGCGCTCGTTTGTCTGTGTTTGTGTCTGTGGATTTGTCTGTCTGTTGGTCCATCTTTGTGAACCTGCCTGCCTGTGTGCTTGCTCCTTTTCGCCCCCCCCCTCCTTGACCTTCCTTCCACCTTCCATCGTATTCTCTCGTGGCGTGCAGTGATTTCAACCCCCAGATGGATCTCCAAGCTCAGGATCGCGCGCATCGCATCGGCCAAACCAAAGAGGTGCGTGCGCCCATGTCCGCGCTGTGCACGTGGACCACACACGTGGTTTCTCGCACCACCGGTCAACTACGGAGCTTCTTGCCGTCCGTTTATTTGTGCCATGACACACACGCATGCACACACACACACACATACACACACACACACACACACACAGCGCTTGTTATCCCGCCAGCATCCCTGCAATCAAATGTCGCACTCACTCACATATTTTTCGATTCTGGACGTGCTGTGACGTGGCGTGATAGGTTCGCGTGTTCCGGTTCATCACGGAGAAGACGGTTGAGGAGCGCATCGTTGAGCGGGCAGAGATGAAGCTTCGCCTCGACGCCGTAGTCATCCAGCAAGGGCGCCTCAGCGACAAGCAGAAGCAGCTCTCCTCTGGCGACATGCTCAACATGATCCAGTTTGGTGCCGACCACATCTTCCGCACGACAGAAGGTCCGCCCATGTGTGTGTGTGTGTGCGTGTGCATGTGTGTGTATGTCTATGTGTGCGTGTTCATGTGTGTGTCTATGTGTGCGCGTGTGTATGTGTGTGTGTGTGGTGATGTGATGGTTGTGTCAGTGAGTGCGCGCGCGGTGGCGTGGTGATGGCACATGGTGTCGAGTGAACCTGCTGAAACATCAAGTCTGATGTGCTCACGTGCTTGCCTGCATACCGACTCGCCTTGATCTTGCGGCATCCTCCAGCGACGGTGACGGACGAGGACATTGACGCCATCCTGAGTCGTGGTGAAACAAAGACGGAGGAGTTCAACAAGAAGCTTGAGGCCATGGGCGAATCCAACTTGCTCAAGGAATTCACCTTTGACACCCAATCATCGTACGTCCATCGATCGTCTTGTTCATGACTCTTCTCTCGTCGCATGCGCTGCTATCTCGTCAACCCAACACACCCACTTACTCATACATACTTACACACACTCACACACTCTCTCACACTTACACGCATGCATGCACACACACACTCTCTCTCACACACTTGCACGCATGCATGCACACACACACTCACACACACACACACCTACACGCATGCATTCACACATTCTGCTCGTTTCCCGCACACCTTGCTTCACGGCGCCCACTGGCGCTTGTGCACGGCCGGCAGGAGCATCCTGGAGTTTGAGGGCGAGGACTACCGCAAGAAGCGGGAGCGGAAGAAGCCCATGCGCTGGATTGAACCGCCAAAGCGCGAGCGCCGCCAGGCCATCAACGTCAACAAGTACTTCAGCGAGCTGCTTGGCACCAGCAACACCACAAAGGCGCCGAAGGTGGGGCTCCTTCTTTTTAATTCTTCGCTGCCGCTAATGCTCTGCTTGATTGTGTGCACTGCTGCTCACGTATACACATGACGTCGGGCGTGGCGCACACAACAACCACTCTCACCCCTCCTGCGTCGACGCATTCAACACCCCCTCACCCCGTCTCCAAATGCGCGTGTCCGTGGTCACAGGCGCCCAAGCCGCCAAAGCAGCCCAAGATTGAGGAGTTTCAGTTCTACCCGGCGCGCCTAACAGAGCTGCTGCAGCGTGAGGTTTACGCATATCGCAAGGCTGTCGGCTACAAGGTGTGTGTGTGGGGGGGGGGTGGGGTGTGTGTGAGACAACGAGTGTGTGCGTTGTTTGTGTGCGTTGTGTGTGTGTGTGCATCGCCTCCAACGATTCGAGCACGCAACAATGCACTGATAACACACACACACACCCTTCTGTCGCGTGTGTGCATTGATATGGTGCTGGTGCGCAGGTGCCAAAGAAGCCTGTTGAAGGTGTGTGGACAGACGAGCAAGAGGAAGAGCGGCAGAAGGAGCAGGCGCTCGTCGACACGGCCGAGCCTCTCACTGAGGCCGAACTGGTGCGTGCATGCGTGTGGTTGTGTGTGTGTGTCTGCGTGTGTGTGCGTGTGATGAACACATTGCAACACATCAAGGACGCATGTCGACAGCACACCAACGACACATTGCTCACATGCTGCACTCGTCTTTGCCGGCTTGTGGCAATGGCTGGTAGGAGGAAAAGGAGAAGCTGTTGCAGCAGGGCTTCAAGTCTTGGCAGAAACGTGATTTCCAGCAGTTTGTCAAGGCCAACGAGCGCTGGGGCCGCGACAACATTGAGAAGATTGCACAGGAGGTGAGTCGATGCGCACCGCGCTGTCGTGGCTGTGCATTTGGTTAGGTTGGCTGGTTGGCTGGTTGGTTGGTGGGTTGGTGGGTTGGCGGGTTGGTGGGCTGTTTGTCTCTGTTTGTGTGTGTTTGTGCCATCTGACTCTAACACGTCTGCTGTTTGTGCGAGCCACAGATTGATTCCAAGACCTTTGAGGAAGTGCAAGAATATGCCAAGGTGTTCTGGAAAAAGTACAAGACCCTCTCCAATGCGGACCAGATTATGGGTGTGTGAGTGTTGTGCATCGTAGCAAGTGCCGCTGTTGCCTACGTTGTGTGCGCTCCAACGCCAATTGCACATGCCTGTTTGTTGCCTTTGTTTCGGCGTACGCGTCGTAACACCCTAACTCTTCAACACACACACACACACACTTACACACACTTACACACACACACACACTCTCTCTCTCTCTCACACACACACACACGCAGCTCAAATTGAGCGTGGTGAGAGCAAGATCCAGCGCCGCCTTGAGGTGCAGGAGTACCTTGACCGCAAGGTTGCCCAGTACAAGCTGCCTCTGCAGCAGTTGCATCTGCACTACGGCGGCAGCCGCGGCAAGAACTTCACCGAGGAGGAGGACCGCTTCTTGGTGCGTGCACACATGCATGCTCGCGTGCTGTTGTGGGTCTTGTTTAATGTCACTTCTGCTGCGTTGTCGTGTCTGTGTGTGTTTGTTGCTGATGTGTCGTTGCTGCTGCGCGTGTACGTGTGTACGTGTGTACGTGTGTACGTGTCCGTGTGCATATGTGTTTGTTTGTGATGTTACGTTCGTTTCGTGCAGATTGTGTGTCGTGCTCTGATCCATTTGATTGTTTGTTTGTTGGTTGGTTTCGTTCTTTGCAGGTGTGCGGTCTTCAGCGCATCGGCTTTGATGCAGACAACGTGTATGAGGAGCTTCGTCGCCAGGTGTGGCCCTCTCTGCCACACGTACCACTGCAATTGCGTGCATGTTGTGTGTGTGTGTGTGCGTGTGTGTGTTTGTGTTTGGCGTGTCCTCCTGAGATTTCCTCACACACACACACACACACACACACGCACGCACACACACACACACACACACACCGCAGATCCGGGCTGCGCCTCAGTTCCGGTTTGACTGGTTCATCAAGTCGCGGACGGCCACGGAGCTGCAGCGGCGGTGCAACACGCTCATCTCGCTCATTGAGAAGGAGCTCAAGGACGCCGACGCCAAGGCAAAGAAGGACCGCAAGAAAAAGGTTGGCTGCCCGCTTTTGTTTGAAGCGAGAACGAGCAAAGGATGAGGGAAGCGGGATGGGCTGGAGAAAGGTTCGCTCGTGCAATGTATTCGTGAGGAGGGGCGGTGCTCGTACACATGTGCACAGACAGCCTTCTTTTTGCTCCCGTGTACCTTATCCGCCCACGTTCCCGCGACACAAATGCCATGCAATGCAAATCCAACACGTTCATTTGTGATGTATCATTTTTCGCATCGACAGCAGGGCAAGCGCAAGTCAGAGGCTTCGTCGTCCAGCAAGAAGTCGAAGAAGTCCAAGTAGATGGCTGCTCGCGTTTGTGGGTCCACAACAACGACTGCTGTGCCCACCCTTACCCCTTTGGCTGCTGCTTCTGCTGCTGCTGCTGCTTTTCTTTCCTCCCATGCTCATCTGTCTTTATGTGTGTGTGTGTGTGTGTGTGTGTGTACATCACACATGATGAGTCCATTGTTGGTTTTGCTTTTTGTCCCCTTTTTGTTGTGGCTGGAGTGCGTG